AAAACGATTAATCGATTATTAAATTAGTCATCGACTATTTTAATAATCGATTAGTCGTTGATTAATCGACTAATCGTGGCAGGTGTGACGCAGGTGTCCAGTGAGGACAGATGATTSGATGTGAACACAGATGTTCTTCAGACTCAGCAGAGGAACTTTTAAAAAGCTAACAGACGACCTGATGGACGTCCACCATGTAAACCAGATGTTCCTGATGCTCACCACAYGTTTGGTGCAGATGTAGCCTCAGTGTGATCAGTGGATGAAGACTGCTTCATGTCTTCCTGGTTTCTGCAGGTATTTCATGAAGCCCCTCCCACCAAGGTTTGAGTCAGCCAATCAGAAGCCTGCTGGGTGTCGTGTTTCACTGCAGGCTGTGGTTTCTGAAGGTGACGTGTTCCAGCTCCTGCAGGAGCACATGTCCTCCTCCTCCAGTCCACGTCGACCCGTCTGTTTGGACTCAGAGTCTGAACCGGGTCCAGGTTCTAGGTGTCTCTGCGGCGCCTCAGGGTGTGACTGTTTGGGTTTGGACCCGGGCCTGACAGAGTGTTTGTGTTCCAGCAGAGCTGGGTTTACTTTAGAACCAGGACGGGTCAGAACCTTCTGCAGCAGCAGCGTCTTGCTTTGACAAACGGATCAGAACCATCTCTCTGTGGTTGATGAGATATTGTGCTAACAGAGGCCTTCCAGCTGAATCTTATGTTTGATTTGAACAAAGCTCTGGTTCTGGTTCTGTTGGGTCACCACAGCAGCCAGCTGTGTGCAGCTGGACTCAGATTCACACCTGAACAGAACCGAGCCAGAACTTTTCTGTTTGTTGTCGACAGAGAAAGAGCAAAGAGAAGAAAGGAGAGAAGAGTCTGAGAGCAGCCGTCTGCCGCCATGAAGGAGGTGAGTTTATCAGGTCCTGGTCCAGTCCTGGTCCAGTCCTGGTCCAGTCCTGGTCCAGTCCAGAACTGGAACCCTTTAGAGTTGCTGTGAACGTTGGATTATTTTATTTTCAGCTGATTCATTGAAACGTTCTGATGTGTAAAATGTTCGGCTGTGGTTTCCTCCCCCTCGGTTCTCATCATCTTCACTTCCTGCTTCTTCGTCCCGTTTCCTCAGAACCTGTGAGACGGTTAGTTTCATCAGCACTGAGCTGCTGAACGACAGGAAACATTCTGTCAACAACAACAACAATAGCTCTGTCAACAACAACAACTCTGTCAACAACAACAACAACTCTGTCAACAACAACAACTCTGTCAACAACAACAACAACAACAACTGAAAACTCAAAGTAACACAGGTCTTTGTTAAAGAAGATAAAAACTGAGCTGCTGCAGCTGAGACGACTGGAACACTAGCTTAAAGTTTCTGAGCATAAAGCTAGCTTTAAGTAGCAAAAGCATAGCTAAAAGGAACTAAATGCTTGATAGAAGTAGTAAAATGTTTGGCTAAAAGTAGCTAAAGTCTATCTAAAAGTAGCTAAAGTGTATCTAAAAGTTGCTAAAGTTTATCTAAAAGTTGCTAAAGTATCTAAAAGTTGCTAAAGTTTATCTAAAAGGTGCTAAAGTATCTAAAAGTTGCTAAAATATCTAAAAGTTGCTAAAGTATCTAAAAGTTGCTAAAGTATCTAAAAGTAGCTAAAGTCTATCTAAAAGTAGCTAAAGTCTATCTAAAAGTAGCTAAAGTTTATCTAAAAGTTGCTAAAGTATCTAAAAGTTGCTAAAGTATCTAAAAGTTGCTAAAGTTTACCTAAAGTTGCTAAAGTATCTAAAAGTTGCTAAAGTATCTAAAAGTAGCTAAAGTCTATCTAAAAGTTGCTAAAGTTTATCTAAAAGTTGCTAAAGTTTATCTAAAAGTTGCTAAAGTATCTAAAAGTAGCTAAAGTCTATCTAAAAGTTTCTAAAGTCTATCTAAAAGTTTCTAAAGTTTATCTAAAAGTTGCTAAAGTATCTAAAAGTAGCTAAAG